CCCCCCCCCAAAAAGCCCCTCCTCATTCTTAACATTGTGTGGTAATCGACTTGATTACTTACACATCCGATCACCAGGTATGTCATGCTATATCAAGTCGTCATACCTACCCATACACCATCACACTATATACTATACGGTACTAATGCTCCCCCGTTTCGAGCGTAGACGTCCATCCATGCCTCACGCGGAAAACGGAACAATGGGTGAGAACTCGGTTAATGGAGAGAAAGTTCATTCCCACTTCATCGATGTAAGTTTGGACCTCCAAGCACTCCATCCGTCCTTCCCTCTAGGCACGCCTCAACTAATTACGCGATCCCAATTAGCACTTGACATCCTATCCGGTGGTTGCAGATTCAATCACCGTCTTCAAAACAAATAAGTATGGCGCAAAGACGCTAGAGTATGCCGATCAAGGGTACAGCCGCCTGGCCAAGCCACTTCTTCCATACTTCTCCAGGCCCTATGTCTATATTGCCCCCTACGTTGCTCGCGTGGACTCGCTCGGCGACCAGGGCTTGACCAAAGTCGACGAAACCTTCCCCATCGTTCGGGAGGACACCGACAAGCTGAAGGAATCCCTCCGAGACGGAGCCACCTTCCCATTGCGCTTCGCCGGTGACATGAAGGCCCATGTGGTCGACACCCTGAACTCGGAGTACAAGAAATGTGGGGGCGATGGTGTCGTCGCTGGCAGCAAGGCCATCATCAGCACCACTCTGGTGCTGTCGCAAGAGTCATTGGCCTACCTCAGCTCCCTGCTGCAGGCGAAGAAAACGCAGGTCAAGGAAGCTGTGAACGAAAAGACCGACAAGTAGTCCCAACTCCGTCTTTATTGATACCTCGGAACCATTTCCGTCCTGGTCTCTCGAACTTTTCCAATGTCTTCGACTCTTTGCTTTGCTACTTTTTTTCCCACTTTTAGAAAGCTTTGCGCTCTTGTGGCTTTGTTCGCTTCGTCAGCGGTGCGTGGTGCACGTTTAGTTCTAATTTCTCTGTAACGAACATTGGTGGTTATCCTCTCTCTGCTCTGGTGGAATGTGCGTGTGTGTTAGTTATAGCTTGCATTTGGATACACATCATGGGTCTCAGCTCTTGATAAGTGTATCTCTTGTGAATCAGAATTGCCGATATTCTCGCGGAATGCATTGAGGGGGAGAGCCGATAGACGTTCAAGAAGACATCAACCTTGGCAGATAGATCCATGCGTATGGCAGGAGCAGAAGCAAAAAGAGATCTCCCCGACTGGGAGTCGAACCCAGGTCTCCCGCGCTTGTTCCCGACTGGGATTGACAAGCGGAAATCATGACCGTTAGACCATCGAGGATATTGCTTGAAATAGTCTTCCTTTTATGCTCTGTGTTTCTAAACTCCCTCTATCCTCACAGCACTGGATCTGTACTGTACTGTTGATTAGAGGGTAAGATGAAGCCTGCAGGCTCTCTTTTTCACAATTGATCAGATTCTTCAGCGTTCTAGCCAAGAAAATTGCTTCAGCTCGCTAGCCCTACAGTGCACTTCTACTGTGGGATGTAGTAGTATGAAGTAGTAAGGAGAAAACTCAGGCTGCCTGTGTGCTGTTTGGTGAGTTGTACGTAAGATCTAGGAGTACTAGGTGTAGTATGACTAGCTCCCTTGTGGATGAGATTACCTTGTGCTGCATTACCCGCCCCCATCCGATTGAAAACTCTCTTATGAAGTTCACCAGCAGGTGTCGTGCCGTGGCTTGATCGAGGACTACCGGGCCTGGTGTACCAGAAGAATGTGAGTATAGAGTCAGCTGCGTCTGTACTTCTGCTTACTTCGGAGGTATTGGGGTTGTGCGTGGGTGTTGTCGAGTAGGAATGGTAGAGCCGAAACTCAATTGCTTGCAGCTTGTACTGTAGCGGGCCATAACTTACATACACCCGACTGCTTACAGCAGGGCTGCTCCTCGCACCTCTCATGCTTTACTATCGCCGTCATGCTTCCTATCCTAGCCATAGACGCATTAGCCAACATGCTCTGCCGCATGCATATACAATCTCCAAAACAAAAAAGAGAAGTGTACGTGATAATCTCGGATATCAAGCTCCACAGGAGCGTTTCTTCCTATTCAATTAAAGTTATTTTTTTCTGTTTCACTATGTTGATAAACAGCACCGTATTCTAGGGCTATAAAGGAACTGACTTACCGAGAAGGTTCTCGCTTGTGAAAGACCGGCGGCTCCTCGGAATGGCCCAGCGTCCACGAAGAACGGTCATTCCCGTCGCTAAACGGGGCTGGGGTGGTCTCAGCAGTAAACGGGGTGCTCTCGGCAGTAGTAGTATAATACATACCCGGCTCAACAGAACTGGACAGAGAATCCGACATGTCGTTGTCCATGCCCATATTCTCGGTCCCCTGCGAAGACGAAGGCGAGGGCGAGTTGTGAGGCAGTTCATAACTCACCTTTTCCTCCTCCGCCTCAAGCCCCTCCATCTCATCGCGCCGCTGCCCCTGGTCCTCCCCACGCACCCACTCAATCTGATCCTCATGGAAAGGAACCCTCCTTGCCCTAGGTGCGGGGACCCCATCGAACGCCCGAGACAACTCCGGCGCGCCCCGACGACGACGAAGACGCCGGTGCCGACGGGAGCGCACCGCCTCCACAAACTCCGCGATCAGCTGCTCGTCGCCGTGCCGATGCAGCGTGTGCACATGGTTGACGGCGAGGGGGTAGACCGTGTCCTTGCCCATGTTCGTGCCCGTCGTTCCCGGGGATTGGCCTGTCGTGGTTGTGGTTTTCTCGCGGTAGAACCGGACCCAGTGGTGGGAGTGCACGACGCCGTAGAAGGGCATGCTCCGCGGGGCGCGGTGGCGCAGCACCCGGAAGATGTGGTTCATCGTCCACTGCTCCCAGGGGAGCGGCGCGAGGTGGTTGGGGATCTCCTCGCCGAGGCGCACGACCACGAAGGCGGGGATGTTTTCGTAGTGCTGGAATTCGTGGGGCAGGGGTGGGGGTGGGGAGCCCACGTTGGGGGCTGTTGTCGCGCCGGCGCCGGCGGGCGTTGCTTGGAGCTGCTCGGCGAGGAAGGCGTGGAGAGCCCAGGACTCTTTGCCCGTGGGGAGGCGGGTGAAGTTGAAGAAGGGGGGGGACATTGTTTCGGCCGGTGGGTTTGTTCAGGACGGGTTTCGTCTTGGAGTGGGAATAAGATCGGTGCTTGGAACGATGTCGGGGTGTTTGAGGGTTGGGATAGCAGAGATCCTGGTATTCGGGTGTTGTTATATAGGTGATGCGGCCATGCTGATGCTGTCGTGGTATTTGTATTCTGATTCAAAGGGACTCTTCATTATCCCTCTGTCTTTGCTGCGTTGGGGAGGCTTTGATGGGGCTTTGCCAGTAATCGAGGGCTTGTGTTTGTGATGTCTCTGTGTCTAGGAGATACATCCCGCCTCGTTATGGGGATCTGAGTGACCAGACAGTGGAAAGGGCATGTATCTTCTTTCGATGCTGTTTCTGTTGAATGGATTTCACTTGACACTCTCCGCCTACATCACTTCTGTCTTGTCGGCATTCACCAGGTATATCAAAGACTGCCATTGGGATATCACTACAGCCAAGCTGCAAGCTACTCTATGCTCATGAAGAGGACGAAGAAGACAATGAACAGCACCAGATATTCCTCTCTTTGCCTGGTCAAGTCGTAAAACACCATGTGTAAGCAAGAATCTCCATTTTATTTCTTTTTCCATGGCAGGAGGAGCATTCCAGGCACATATGTCTTTGTGGCCGGATCGAACATCAGCTTAGGTCGTCATTTTCCAGACAAACGCCGACAAGATGTATTACCAGGGCATACACCGCGGTCTGGACATTTGAGCCCATTGAAGAAAGCAATTCGACGGCGGTATCACACCACGTACAAGCCATTCAGACCATGACAAGCACATTGCGATGTGAATGACAGACATCACACATATTCCCAGCGTCAGCCCACCAGCCGCCAGCAGACAGACAAAAAGACAAAAGAAAGATCTCCCCGACTGGGAGTCGAACCCAGGTCTCCCGCGCTTGTTCCCGGCTGGGATTGACAAGCGGAAATCATGACCGTTAGACCATCGAGGATCTTGCTTGCAGGACGGCCTTCTTTTTGACAACATGACCAAGATCATGACATGAGGTGGTTCTAGCCGGCCTGAGGTTCGTTAGGGCTAAAGGTGCCTGCTCCGGATTGGTGCGCTCTATACTGCTCAAGCTTTTGTGTTTCATGGAGTGTATGAGTGTATCTGGGTGCAAGGTCCAATCTTGGTCCAGAGTTTACTTAGCTGGAATTGTCTTCTTAAAGGTTTTTCTCGGGACCTCACTGGTGTGATATAGCGTGGGACGAGATTCGGAAGGCAGTACCTCAGTCGGAATTTGGTGGAATAGTTAGTCGGTATCCGACGTACCCGGCTTTGCTTCACAGCAAAGCTTGTAGCTCACCATAGTGGGAGTATTTAGCCTGATGTCGCGCTGGTCATGCGGCTGGCTGTATACAAGATCGACCAACCGACGCCGTCGTGCCGCATGCTGGACGGAGGGCAAGCTGCACCGATGCACAGCGGAACATAGCTCGGAGCATCACCCCGAATCAGAAAGGCATGTTCACCAACCGCAAAAGGCTTGTGAACTCGATGCCATGTCTCGTCCAGAACACGATGTCTTCCCCCCCCCTGCGCGCCTCCGCCCATTGTCTTACACTCTCGCGGGAACGCTCCATCTCCCGCATTAATCGTGGCAGCGTCCATCGGCACCGGCTCAGGTCGATCCTTGGGGGTATATTGCTTGACGTATAGGTGCAGAACGTCGTCCTGGGTGACGGTGCTTCCTGAGTATTCCCGAATATGAGATCCGGGGACAACATGCTCAGTGATAAAGAAATATCGCACTCGACATGGTTGGTGGCTATTAGGTTCAAAGTACAGTACAAGTCGTGTGGTGGACAGAAGAGAAACAGGGGGAGAGTGTGGTGAGGAAAGAATGGGGTTAAAGAAAGGTCACGGTAAGGGCTACAGTGGCTACCTACCTACCTTAGTTTGTTGTAGTAGGTGGACCACAGTGCAGTGTAAGCACTTGGCTCAAGATAAAAATAGCCATCAACTAGGTACTGTGACCTCGCAATATAACAAATCGCGTTTAAGCGAATCTTGGCTATCCAAAGAACTCTTAGAACAGTCTAATTAGTTTTACCATACTACTTTTGCTGGATCGTCTTATTATAAATCTTATTACATTACCTTTTTTCTTTTTGTGCAAAATTTTCGATTTTTTTATATATTGAATGGGTAAGATTTATCTAATTAGACAACAAATAGGTTAAAACAAGAATCTCTGCTTAGTTACCAAATCTCAGAATTTCTAGAATATCAAATGAATATCTACTTACATCTATTTAATATTACTAAAATCACGCTATAGTGAGTTTGAGCCGCGCCTCCATTGATTTGTTATATCGCGAGGTCACAGTGGTCCTCACCTCCACTTTTCCTGCTATGCTTACTGTTCCTGCCCCCATGCCCCAGGGGCTTACTGAGTACTGTGTTATGTCGGCACGCACCCTTCTTCTTCCCTTGCATACAGGTCTGAGAAGCTCATTGTATGCTCCTCAGCAAAGCACAAAATCCATATGACTTGGTTCCCTGAATATAGATAAAACCAGCGTACACCCAAGCCAGCTATGAACCATAGTACTATACAAAGAATTGATCCTGGCGGCAGATTCTAAAATGATCACAAACCTATAGCCCACACAAGGGAAGTATGTGGGCAAGTAGTTACATACTCAGGATCAGCTTCAACAATTCAAGCGGACTATCCATGTCTTATGCCTGACTAGCAGGATTCTTCCATCTGATTATGCGCCGCAGCCGATAGATGCGCACATGTGCCCTCAGGTCTCACCAGTAGAATTAGTAAGATATAAGTTTCAGGATCAACAAGACTCAGTAAAACAGATCGGGAGTATAATTATATGATGCCGCGGCCAGAGTGATCGTGATGACGACGATAGCCACGGTCATAATATCCAAATGAATGGATACGAGTTCATCTCTCTGACGTTCATGCCGAACGCGGAACAAAGACAGAGGCTCAGATAGTGAGACTAAGACATTGACTTGTCGGTCACATCGCTTTCATAATCCATCCTCGGAAAAGGGGATCTCATTTCACGCCGGTTGATCTTTCTTGGCTTGCTCGATGGATTTCTGCTCTCTCGCATTTGTATATGGGTCAGGTTTCTATGGGTGCTGTTTTGCATCATGTCGAGCCTATATTGAGACCGGGAGAGGATGGATGCCATATGGAACTGTACCTGCGCATACTTATCCATCGACTCGCTTATGCTCAATAGTAGAGGGATGGTCCCCTGGCATGTGCTGCATCACGTACAATGTCACGCCGAAGTCTACGGGATTCGGTTTCAGGTGACAAGAAAAGGAAAATATAAGAGAGCATCCTTCATCCCATTCTCGTCAATCAACTCATCCGCTGCACATCTCCCGTTACTGTGTTCTTGCATGGAAAGGATCAGTTCCCTCATGCTGATGGTATTTCATGTTACCTTGTTGTTGATTGCAATATTCGATCACACGACCGGGTGCTCGCAAGAGGGAGATCTGGGCCTTGACAGACCTAGGGGTCTCCTCGATGGCGCACGCCAGATTCTATCATATCGATAATATGCCCCGAGGTGATCATACCCCGGCCAAAGAGATCGCAGATACTCATGATATCGCCCTTCAAAGGCTTCGGGGATGCCACGCAGAAAGAATCTCTCCCAACCTCTGTCCTGTCGGATTGTGAGACATTGTCTGATTTCAACTCATGCATCCATACACAACAGAAAGGGCTTCATGGAAAAAGGCTGCCTGACTGGAATGGCAATCTAGTAATATTTTAGGCAGTACGCAGGCCTTTTTTGGCGCCGTGGCTGTACACATGGACTCAAATCCTATTCAGCCATTTCCGAGGTGCATGGCGGCTAGTGACGACAGTCAACGAGGCCATAAGAGAAAAGGTCCCTTTCAACTTGAAAGACGTTTGAGAGCCTTGCCATGGAGGCACTCTCGCCTGACGGGTGGTTGGCCGGAGAGAGGCTAGTTCATTCGAAGCCCACGACGCTAGCTAATCATGAGCATAGATGACGGTCATGTTCGCACAGAAGGAGTACATTGATGAGTCGCTCATGATTGCTCGTCCAAGCGTGAGCCATTTCAATCTGTCTTCTCAGAGCATATACAGATTGGCACTGCCACTGTTGACTTGGTCGTAGCTGAGATGCTAGACCCCATCTCTGCCCATCTGTTCATCCACTAACCGCCGTCTGCAGTGCCAGAAGCAAATATGTTCGAATACATCTTAAGCGATCCTAGGAACTGGGTGTTTGTCCTGCCCGTCAAGGCATAACCACACACCCTTCTAAAGGGGTCCCCATTTGCGAAAATCCATCGAATCATTTAATGACCGTGAGCTCAAGGAATATAGAGCACAATTTGGAACCTCATTATAACAATTCCTCGATGGTCTAACGGTCATGATTTCCGCTTGTCAATCCCAGTCGGGAACAAGCGCGGGAGACCTGGGTTCGACTCCCAGTCGGGGAGATTTCCTTTTTTGCTCATCTCATCTTCTCGATGGCCAGAAGATGTATTTTTCGTGCTGGATTTCTTTTCCGTCATCGTGGTGGTCGGTCGTCAAGCAGCAGTGGAATAGCACGCAAGCAATGCCACTGCGCTGCTCATGGCACGCTGGCGAGTACCCTGCAGGGCATAAACAAACGACTGCCGGGCATACAATGAACCGACTAAGAACAGGGTCTTCAGCTGCAGTCATTCCGTGAATATATGGTGGAAGGGCCTCTCTCCTTTTCTGAAACCATCATCATGTTCGTGTTTTATTAACTATATAATCATGGTAAACATTATGTCGTTATGAAATCATACTGTGCTCCAGCTCTTATCAACATGTGATAGTCCAAAAGAGGCAATATCACGTCTGAGTTCCACACTAGGCTTGGCGCGTCGAGCGCGTCCGCCATCGGACAAAGAAACCACCACATCAAGCCTGGAGCCCAGATAAACTACCCCTCTACTCCCAGAGAACCGAGAGTAAACCTTCGCATCCATCGCCGGCAAGAAACAATAGCAAGCCGTCTGATTGCAAGATTAAATTACTTCATCACCATACCAGAATCCAGCGTCAGTGGGAATGCCTCCGAATCGCAAACGCCGCGCAGTACGTACTCTCTTCTGCCGATAAGCCCACAAAATAGCCAAAGAAACCACAAGACTGATAATCAATAATATCAGGCCCCAGAAAACGAGTCAAGTGAGGAGGCAGACGGTACCCCGCCTCCCACACAGAATGCGCCCCGCCGCCGGAGACGCGACGACTCTTCCTCATCCGAAAGCTACGCGGACGAGGGGTACGACATCCGGGCCCCGACGAGCACCGACGTGATGGTCAAAAAGCTCGTGCGACTGGCCCTGGCCAGCGAGTACTCCCGACAACCGCTCCGCCGCATCGACATCAGCGCCAAGGTTCTGGGGGAGCAAGGGGCACGACAATTCCGGACCGTGTTCGACGAAGCGCAGCGGGTTCTGGGCGAGAAGTTTGGAATGCAGATGACCGAGTTGCCGGTGAGGGAGAAGGTGACCGTTCACCAACGGCGAGGTGAGTTTTTCATGCACGGTTGAAATGTTCCCGATGTGGATGGCCGGTTTTGTTAACCCGTTTTGGGGGTTGTCCTGGTTTGCGCTGTAGCTGCTCAGAAGGTCGAAAAGGCGTCCTCGGGGAATAAGAACTGGATACTCACCAGTCTCCTGCCGCCGGAGTACCGCAGGCCGGCAATCCTGCGCCCGAGCAAGGCTCCGTTGGAAAGTACCTACACTGGGTTGTATTCGTTCATCATTGCCGTGATTCTGCTGAACGGAGGCACGATTCAAGAGCAGAAGCTGGATAGGTATCTGCAGCGGACGAATACTAACACTTACACGCCTGTTGATCGCACGGACCGGTTCCTTCAGCGGCTCTGCAAAGAAGGATACCTGGTGCGAAACCGCGATGTCGATGGTGGGGAGGAAGTCATCGAGTACATTCTGGGCCCGCGTGGGAAGGTCGAGGTGGGAGCTCAGGGTGTAGCTGGACTGGTTCGCGAGGTCTACGGCCAGCAGGATGCTGATGAACCCGACGAGGAGTTGGGAATCCGTCTGGCGCGGAGCCTCGGGCTCCAGGCGCCTCAAGGCCGCGCGCAAGAGAGACCGGCCGAGAATACCCCTGCCAACGAGGAAGAGGAGGGTCAAGGACCGCGGGGCCAGAGAAGACAACAGCCCCGACGGCGTGGACGAACCGAGTCTGGCTCTGAGGGCGAAGAGAGCGATTGATTATGCACCATGTTCGATGAATTGTTCCTTTGCGTTATCACTTTATCCTGGCCCTGCTCGACTGAATGATACCCTAGTTTATGCCATATGTTTGAGCTCGAAAGGTGCTTGCTGCTATTACGTATATCCGACTCGGAAGGCGGGATTAAGTTTCTGCAAGATGCGGTCTTACTTGCAGTTCTACACTCCATGCAAACCCCGAAACTGCAGCGGTATCCCTGTCTGCACGTCACACAGGGTCGACCCTGCATTCAGCCACGTAGTTACACAATTTATGCAATTCCGGAAACATAGATAAACACTCCCAAACTCAAAAGGTGAACATCGCTTGCATACATCTATAGGAATTAAGACAAATCGCTATACAGGGGTGGTGTGTTTCGCTATTACATATTTACTCGCTGTCGCTGGCACTGTCGTGCACGGAGCCACTATCCGCGTCCTCCCGGAGTCCCTCGGCCATCACGTACTCGGCTTGCTGCAGGACCGACTTGATCTCTGGGTTGTTGTAGACGAGCTCCGTGGGCTTCTGGCTGTGCTTATTCCGGACCCGCGGGTCGCAACCGGCGTCGCACATCATCCGGACCATCTCCAGCCCTAACTCGGCATCCTTCTCGTTGGCATAGCGGACTGCGACGTGCAGCGGGGTATCTTTGTCGAGGCGGGTCAGGGGGTCACATTCGAAGTACTGAATGTCGAAGAGGGTGTCCATGGTGTCATCTGTATGTATCCAAAGAAATTGGTCAGTTTGCAGGTCGAGCTTGGGGGCCTCCATCACTGAAAGGTGGGTACAGACAGCTTCCGTATGAGGCGCAGATGTGTAGGGCATGGTTGCCCATGGAATCCGTCACCCCGTTGAAGAACTCGGCCACCTCTTCGTTCGACTTGTCCGTCATGCCTTCAAGCACCTGTTCTATCAGGTGAGGCTGGTCGCGCCGACAGGCCTCCACAACCAGCTCACGCGGGGAAGCGCCCTATGCACTAGTATGAGCAATGTAGAAGGGCAACGGAGGTGAGGATGGCACTCACCTCGTCAGCCATTATGATTTCGTGTGCGGGGTACTGAGAGTCGGAAAGAGATGATAAAGCGCAATCAATCTCCAAATAATCCGTCAAGATTCAGTAGAGTCGCTGCCCTGAGGAGTTTCTGTGTATTAATGCCGCCGGAGAAGCCGCGAAGTAGTCAGGAGGCGGTGTCGGAAGCAACTACAGGATCAATAGAAGATTAGCACGAGGCATGTGGGGAGCAAAGTCTATATATAGGCTTGCACAAGTGAGGCCGAGCCATGAGGGACAAGAATAGATCAGCAAGCCTCACTTACAGTTCCGGATCGGTTTGCAGAAGCTAAGTTGTGTTTAGATGGGTGTTATTGCCTTATGCCTGATGCCTCCCTATTGTTGGCCCCCCGCCGGCTCTCGACGCGGCAGCAGGCGGCCTATCGGCAATCGAGTTTATCCGGTCTGTTTCCAGTCTTGCCCCGCGTCCAATCGGCGGGTTGTCAATCTCGTCCGCCCAACGGCATCGCCGGCTGATAAGAGCCTCAACCCGGCCTAGTTCTTTATCGCTGAGATCGCATGCGACCCTGACTGACTACTGCGCGAAACAGTGACAGCTGCTGCACTGGATTTCTTCCCGTAGTCGCCTTTATGCAGGGCCACACATTATGCGAAGAAACTTGCTACCGTGACACCAACATTGCTACCCACTAGACATCTTTGATTGACGGACCTTCTAGCCAGGAAATATCCTCATCATGCCGTTGACCTGTGAGTCTCTCCTTCGCGCGCGGGGTACCGCCAGCCCTGCTATAGCTACATGATTCTATGGATGGCACATCTCTGACCCCGATTACTCAATAGTCTGTCCCAATTGCAGCAATGCGCTCACCATCTCGCGAGCAGAGCCGACCGGAAGACATCCATTGGGCGTCAACCGCTTCGAATGCCGCACCTGCCCCTACCAATATGTCCTGGAACAGAGCTGGTTTGAGAAGACTCCGATGAAGCAGAAAGAGGTCGAGGACGTATTTGGCGGCAAGGAAGAATTTGCGAATGCGGATAGCGTGGCCAGTAAGTTGCTTCGCCTACAATGTTTCTCCCTCTTGGCTGTGTGTTTCGATACCGCCAGCTTGGAGAGACAAGACAGAGAAGAGAGAAGGAAGCTTGCAGAGGCTGACCTCCTCCTCCCCCTCCTTCAGCCCAATGCCCCGCAGAGAACTGTAATGGCGACCGTGCATATTTCTTCCAGCTGCAGATTCGGAGTGCAGATGAACCGATGACTACATTCTTGAAGGTGGGTGCTAATTTTAATCATTTATTTTTTTTTCTTCTTTGGTTTTACCCCTCCCCGCGGCTCTCCTGCGGGATGTATGCATACTGCCCGACATGCCTTGCTGATAGCGGATATTACATTCCAGTGTACCACGTGCGGCGCCAGATGGAGAGAAAATTGATGTGTCTTGCCCCTCGATCCAGGTTGGGAACTATACACCTATAATGTTGGGGGAAAATGTTTTTCTTGTCTTATGGATTAGACTACAGAGAAGAAGAAGCAGTGGATTTGTGTTCCGACACAAGTGGTTTCGGTCTCTGGTGGATTTTTTTGGAGTCAAACTCTTGAAGTCTAACCTTCATGATGTCGACCTTTGGGCCCTTCACGATGGCCTGTATGATGATGTATACATCTATCTAGCTTAAACAGATACCCCTCAATAGATGATTGACCGCATGATGTTCCAAAGTAGTTAAAACAGCACTAAGGATGTTGACTAGTAGTTCAGGTAGAAGCAGGAAGGGCTAGTCTGTCAGAGCAAGCGCCGAACCCAAAACAAAAAGAAATTTCAAACCCGTGCTGATGGGAATTTTACCTTTGGACCGGCAACGGGCAGATAATCCCCCGATCTGGATTGGTTCGAGTTAAGGTAAGCTTCCTTTGTTGATGTGTTGTGTTGTGTGGCATCTAGTCCGGCTCTCATACGGTACCAAACTTGAGTCATTTGATTTGCCCCCCCCCGACACCCTCGGGGACTCTAATAGGTAAAGGCCAAGAGAAGAAAGAAGATGTGAGAGCCGCCAAAAACCGACGACCTCCATACTCAGACTCGGTGAGGGGCACTCTCAACACACACACACGCACACACAGACAACATGATTGCGCAAAAAAAGAAAAAGAAAATAGAAACAAAAGGGAAGGGTGGCGGCAAAAAAGAAAAATCTGTTCGTTAGTAGTCTACCGGTAGGCGATCAGTGTGCCTATCAATATCAAACATGTTGATTTTTCTTAGTCCTTTTCCCTTTCAAGGTCCATCAAACGGAACAAAATCTAGTTCATCGAACGGAACACACCAACCACCGGGAGGCAAAAAAAAAAAAAGTCGGTATCATAGCAACACAGACTTTTTCCTTTCCCGTTAGATAAAAAAATAATGATCCTTTGTTGCTGCTGCTGCTGCTGCTGCTGCGGCGGCGGCGGCGGCGACCGCGAGGTTGACCTCACATCCCACCGAGCCCACAGTGGATCGGGGCGGGCGCCACTCGGCCGTGCCACAGCTGCCCTTCCAACAGACAAATCAACGTTGCCACCTGCCGCGGGGTTCTGTTGCAAACAAGGCCAACAAAAGTCGGACCAGCAGCAAAACTCCACTCCTTACCTGCGTTGATGCCCAGAATTTCAGTCCAAACCGAGGGGTACTTGCGGGAACCTTGAACTGTAGTACCTACGTGCTGCAACCCCCACCTTGAGTTTACGGATTTGGTAGTATGTAGCCAGCTGGAGGCGATTTTTGAGAGAGAGGAACCAAAGAAGAGGATAGGGGGTAATACCGACTACCGAGTATCTGGATAGGTGGAAAGAAGGGGAAATGGTAGGTAAAGAAAAGAAAAAAAAAAAAAATTCTTCGATATAGTGGATACGGTTGCAAATAAGGACTCCGAGTGGTTCAAAATGAATAGACAGGATAAGCAGAACCAAGTAATGATCGCATGGGCTCTGCTCAGTCTACTCAGTCTGCTCATGCTGCAAGCAGTCCAGGCTCCGCCCAGCAGGTGAAGATTTTTTTTTGCGCTGGGCCCGCTTTTGGAACCAACCAGACTGGAAGTGGGGCTGGGTCAACCTGGTTTACCCCTCCATGTCCAATTGCGCTCATTATTCGCCAAGGGTTGGAGCCCGCCCGCTTAGTCGCCCTCTCGCTTGACCCCTCCATATAAGGATTTCCCCTCCTCCCCCTCCCACAGAATTTTCTTCCTTCCCTCCTCGTCCGCTTCAGTACGTATATCTTTCCCCCCTCCTTCTCGCTTCCCTCTTCCCTCTTCTTCTTCCTTTCTTCATTCCTGTCTTACTGACTCTTGTTGTTCAGCACCTCTACGCATTTGTGGCCGTAGTATCTGAGCAATTTTTTTTAGAACCTTTTCAAAAGTTCACTTCACAACACCGTCACCATGGGGTAAGTCCAGCCAACAATCAGAGTTTTCCATCCACACGAATAGTGGTGGCTTGGATCCAGCATCGAAAGGAATCATCCAGCTAACTCGTCTCCTCTCCAACAGTAAGGAAGAGCGTTCTCACATCAACATCGTCGTTATCGGCCACGTCGATTCCGGCAAGTCCACCACTACCGGTCACTTGATCTACAAGTGCGGTGGTATCGACCAGCGTACCATCGAGAAGTTCGAGAAGGAAGCCGCTGAGCTCGGTAAGGGTTCTTTCAAGTACGCTTGGGTTCTTGACAAGCTCAAGTCCGAGCGTGAGCGTGGTATCACCATCGATATCGCTCTCTGGAAGTTCCAGACTGCCAAGTATGAGGTTACCGTCATTGGTAAGTTATCTCCCATGACTCTACAAGCTATCATCCATCATCTAACCCATTCCCCTTAGATGCCCCCGGTCACCGTGACTTCATCAAGAACATGATCACTGGTACCTCCCAGGCCGATTGTGCTATCCTCATCATTGCCTCCGGTACTGGTGAATTCGAGGCTGGTATCTCCAAGGATGGCCAGACCCGTGAGCACGCTCTGCTCGCTTTCACCCTCGGTGTCCGTCAGCTCATTGTTGCCCTCAACAAGATGGACACCTGCAAGTGGTCCGAGGACCGTTACAACGAGATCGTCAAGGAGACCTCCAACTTCATCAAGAAGGTCGGCTACAACCCCAAGGCCGTTCCCTTCGTCCCCATCTCCGGTTTCAACGGTGACAACATGCTCGAGGTTTCCTCCAACTGCCCCTGGTACAAGGGTTGGGAGAAGGAGACCAAGTCCGGCAAGGCCACCGGTAAGACCCTTCTCGAGGCCATCGACGCCATTGAGCCTCCCGTCCGTCCCTCCAACAAGCCTCTCCGTCTTCCTCTCCAGGATGTCTACAAGATCTCCGGTATTGGAACTGTGCCCGTTGGTCGTGTCGAGACCGGTGTCATCACCCCTGGTATGGTCGTGACCTTCGCTCCCGCCAACGTCACCACTGAAGTCAAGTCCGTTGAGATGCACCACCAGCAGCTCAAGGAGGGTGTTCCCGGTGACAACGTTGGTTTCAACGTCAAGAACGTTTCCGTCAAGGAGGTTCGCCGTGGTAACGTTGCCGGTGACTCCAAGAACGACCCCCCTGCCGGTGCCGCCAGCTTCACTGCTCAGGTCATCGTCCTCAACCACCCCGGTCAGGTCGGCGCTGGTTACGCTCCCGTCCTCGACTGCCACACCGCTCACATTGCTTGCAAGTTCGCTGAGCTCCTTGAGAAGATTGACCGCCGTACCGGTAAGGCCATCGAGCAGAACCCCAAGTTCATCAAGTCCGGTGATGCCGCTATCGTCAAGATGATCCCCTCCAAGCCCATGTGTGTTGAGTCCTTCACTGAGTACCCTCCCCTTGGTCGTTTCGCCGTCCGTGATATGCGCCAGACCGTTGCCGTCGGTGTCATCAAGGCCGTCGACAAGTCCGCTGGTGGTGCCGGTAAGGTCACCAAGGCTGCCCAGAAGGCCGGTAAGAAATAAGCTGGTTTCTGAAGGGTGATGATGTTGTGATGATGCTTTCATGATTACAAAATATGGAATTACGGAACTAGACTTGGGTTATGTAGTTGATCCTACAAAACTTGAATCATGAATCATTTCGTTCTATTTTCTTCCTACCGTAGATTGTTTCTGTCCCTGCTGGTAGATTGTAGTTGTCTTGATCTGACATTGTCAAAATTACGTTGGTATTGCTTAACCACGATCACAAAATGCCCTGCTGGTCCAGTGTTCGTGCTCCCTTCGTCATCTTGTTATCACCAGTTGTCGCCGAGAAGCTCCTCTGGTAAGTCTCTTGTGCCATGCTTGGATGGGCATCGTCCACTCTAAACCTGCTCTGCGGCTTGGGCCGGGGAATGTGATGTAACTTTGGAGGATGTCGTTAACGTCGATCGACCCTGCCAGGGACTAATACCCGGCTGTCCTCCATCATCTGCGGCGTCTTTCTCGCATACTACGTGCACATCGAGGCGGCTCTGTGGTCGCACGGTGCATAGAAGAGACCGCTTTTGCGCAGGCGTAGCATATTTCGAGCTCCTGATAGTCTCCTGCTTCGGTGTGCTGTTTGTACAGGAGTGTGCTTGTAGCCTGCTTTGCTTTAGCGTGTCGATTGTTCTCTGGGCGCGATGGTGGCTGGTAGACCGATCTCGGTGGTTGGTTGTTTGGCTTGTGCTATGGATGCGAAGGGGGAGGGTGGGAGGAGGACGGGTCATGGTGTTGATATGGGAAGCTCTGGTGTTTGTCTGTCTGTCTGTCTGTCTGTCTGTCTGTCTGTCTGTCTGTCTGTCTGTCTGTCTGTCTGTCTATCTATCTATCTATCTCTGGCAGTGTCGCCTTCCGTGGTTCTGTGGGGGTTTGCAGGGATGGTGTGGCTCCCTGTCTGGGTCTGCATATAGTGGTGGGAATCAGCCTTCGGTATGTGTGGTGACTGTGGTGTGCTTCTTCACTTTCAGTGCGGTGTGTTTGCTGGATTGTGGTGGCTGGCCTCTGATGGATGGCGGGCGAAGACTAGACTGGAGAGGGTGTACATGACGGCAACAGGGTACCGGTCTCTGCGGGCTGTCTTCTTGCACTGTTGCCTTTTCGCGCTCCGGGTTGTCGTGCATGGCTTCCCTTTGTGCTGCAGGTGGCTTGTGGTTTCTTTGTTCTTGTCTCAAGGTGTCAGGATTACTTACGTCGAATGGACGACCCCTTGGTCCCTGAGATGTATATATCCGTCACTGTCGTCACCGAAGCTGGGCCGGCATTTGGGGGTCTAGATCACGCTCCCAACGCACACAGCCCACCACTCATCACTGGATCCGAACGCAGAGACGAAAGACATACACCGACGAGGCCACATACATGTGGTCGCCGTCGCAGGCTACCTTACCTAGCTCATGGCCTCTACCGTATATCCCCAGCCCCGCCCATCTGGCCCATATCGAAATACCGCATTGTACATGGCTCAACGTCGACATGATAGATAGGTCGTCGCATCTAGGCTAAGCACCGACTGATCAAGCGTGCATATACACTTAAGAACGTCCTCTCGCCCTCAAAAGTGGCTTACTACCAAGAAACATAGCTCATAGCCGATGGAGGGGGTTCTCATTCTTCCAACATCGCATCGTGCATGTGGCCATGAAATCTTCATCTAATTTTGTGTCTTCATATAACATACTCTGTGACAAAAACTATAACCACTCCCCCGATGGTCTAGTTGGTTCATGGCGTTCGGCTGTAATGGGAATTGTAACCGAAAAGTCACCAGTTCGATTCTGGTTCGGGGGAATGTTCTTTTTTTTTTTGTTCGGCTGCTGGGTGGTTGGGTGGGTTACCACTTCGTTAACTTTCTTATTGCACGCTTCGTTTTTCCCCTGCTGTCTCTCTCTTTGTCCTTTCATGGAATCCTGCCCAACTACACCGAGTACTCCATAGCCCAAGAAACGATCATAAAGAAAAAGTATCAAGGAAAATAAATTGACGCCCCAACACAGCGGAGGACGGTCGTCCTGGAGGCGCGGTGCAAGCAACACAGCCAGCCAGCGGCAGGTCTACCACCTCTTATGTATCGGACGCGCTGTAAGTTACACCCTGCATTTGGATCTCAACACCATTGGCCACCAATGTTCAAATCATACATCCCTTTCACTGTACTAAAACCATAGCACAGAAGCCCACCGCACGAGAGGAAACAACAGCGCCGTCGCTGTTGTGCGCACAGCACAGCCAAGTATATCCATACACACGCATTCGTCATCCTCCGAGGTTAACTAAGGTTCAGTGACTCCTTGCTGGAGAACACGATGACCTTATCTCCCACGTGTCGAGGGAGGTATAAGTATTGCATAGCCCCTGCATCACCACATACACGGACGAATCCGTCTGGTCCACTATCTGTCGACAACGTCATAAGCAATGGTTGGCCCCCGGGACGAGGATGAGGGCATGGTATGGTGTATAGAGCCCAGCTGGACCGATGCTCAAGCATGGCGTTTTTGTTCATCTCATCCTGGGAGAATATACTAACCGGCCCCGTTCCAGGCTGAGTCTGGATCTCTGTAGAGGGGTATTTATAGTTCAACCTGGATGCCCGTAGGACGGATATAAGCACGGTTGCATTGACGGCTCGCTCCGTCGCTGAAGTCCCTACTGATTGGATACATCCGTCGAGGAGAACCGGTTGCTGCTGGTTGGATAGACTCGAAGGGAACATGGGCTTGTTTCTATGTACTGTCACGGTCACGGGTGTTGGGGACATCGACCGAGCGGTGGTTTCAGAGCTACATCAAGAAAACCGATTGAGATGCTCCCTGCCGAAAGCCCTGGTGGATGGGTAGGGGAAAAATACAGAGGCAAAAAAGTAGAACTCCCCCGAACCAGAATCGAACTGGTGACTTTTCGGTTACAACTTCCATTACAGCCGAACGCCATGAACCAACTAGACCATCGGGGGTATTCGATGTGAGAAGCAATTAAACTGCGCAAGATAAGCTTGCAGTAAGGTCGAGTGTACCGCCTAGGAGTCTACTGATATAAACAGCAGTACGCGCCACGAGGTACTTCGCTGAGAGTTTTCACTATTCAGTAGTCGCACTCTCTGGAACGAATGGTCACTGGCGTAGCACAGGGCTGTGACTAGCACATCAACACACGGCGTGTGTACAAATGTTAGGTTCACCTGCCATCCTTGACTCTGTTCGAGCTTGTATACATCTTCGTGCTGCGATGATTTGGGCCTGTCAAGCGGCAATAGCATCAGGGTAAGGTGGGCCAGCATCTCGGTTGCTGGCGACTACTGTAATATAATACAAGGGGCGGAGTCCTAACCGATTGCAATGACTTCGAGGTTATCCACGGTCTAGTCGATGACGCTTGACGCACCGCACCCTATGGCTTGTCGGAGATCGTGGAGTATGAAGAAAGTGTCATCCAAACCGTCGACGGACAATCCGGTTGGACTGGGAGTACGGCAGGCGAGATCATACCTCTCCTGGCTTTGGATGAGTTGTACCTCGCTGTAGATTTATCGTGGCCTGCGAGCAGCTGAACATGTCTTCAACACCTCTCCTGTATTGGAATAATTCTTGGCCAGATCAGTACTGCCGGTTGATGTCGGGAACCAACGACGGTGACTAATTTGGCCTACTTCATCTAGGGTGGTATTCAGCAGGCGGGATAAGTGTGCCGCTTAGGACAGATTGCATGCAGCCATGCATGACAGAGGGCCAGGCATGGGGTTGGGTGAGTGGCACATGGGTAAAGGGGAGATAACAACCCGTGGATTGCCGTGGTTCGAAGGGGGTGGGGGGGCATCCCATATGGTATTAGCATGCCAGATCAGACGCACGACAGTACCTGTAAAGTTATTGGTACCAACCTAGACTTCCACTGCCGAACAGTGGTAATCGCCAGCCACCTCGGAAATCATAGCCTGCCCAAGAATCTCCTACTCGTACTCAGCTCGCCCCAGGGTGGGCTCATCTTCCCGAGCTCTAGCTTTCCACGAGGGGGCCGCCACATGGGCCAGTATCGCAGAGGCTGCATCTTGGCCTCGATGTCCTTCCAATCCGCATCCTGAGACTCCACTTCTGTCGCGGCAGGCTGAACCAGAAGACCGCAACTGTAGGGGACAAACCCGTGGCGCCTGTAGATCGTCACCCCTATTGCGATAACTGCTTCGAGCCAGGACTCGAGCCCCAATTCGTCTGCCCGTCGACAGACCTCAGCCAAGAGCATGTCTGCCAGACCCAGTTGGCGGTACTCGGGTAGGACGAACCCGACGAATATATCTACCAATTCGCGTAGTTAGCTCACGGACAAGAGGGGAATCCAGATCGACGGCACGAGAGCAACAACTTACAAACATGCGGCTTCTGCATAAGCTTCATGTGCGGCTCGGAGAAAATCTCAATGCATCGCGTGATATACTCTCGTCGAGCCCCCTCTGGATACCACAGCGCAGCAGACGGGTTGTGCTCTTCGCTGTCACCGCTCAGGTCCCCTTTTCCTCCTCGCGCGTACGGGTTCTGTCTGTGGACCTTGAAGTGAACCCCGGCAACGAACTTGTTGTCCCGTTCACGGTCCCTGATCTGCAAAAAGACGGAGTCCGGGTCCTCGCGAGCCCATTCTCGGTGCAATTGCACGAGGTTCGCGAGCGCCTCTTGCTTCTGTGCCTCAGATTCGCCTCCAAAGATAGGGTAGAAGAACCGGTAAATCGGTTGGAATGGGTCCCCGAAACTGGCAACCTGGCAGGCGATGAACTCAGAGAGAGCGTCAGATTCGGGGTCTAGCTCGGAGAGTTGGAACCGCATGGTGTGGTGCCATATGCGATTTTTTCTTCCGCACGTACAATTTGGGCGCGTCCATGCCGGGCGGCAGCGAGGGCATTGCATCCCAGGATTATATATCCACGCCGTTGGTGGTGGAGTTGGTTCAGGCTGCCCTTCTGTTGCTCATTTCGTTCAGCTCGCTTGTTTTCACCAATCCTATGCAGATGTCCCTTGCCACCGCTGCGCGAAGGTGCAAGCTAGTCACGAGATGCCCGGTCTTGGCGGCCAGTCGCAACTGACCAGGGGAAGTTTTGATTTCTCGTACGAGGCGGAGCCTGGAGCTGAAAGCTCGACGCCAACCTAAGCCTCTAGATGGGAATCACTTAACCAATGAGACACGGTCCGCACGAGGCTGAGGGTGAGTAACGTAAGTAGGTACTGTACCTGTCACATGAGATTATTCGCTGGAGCAGAATCTTTCTGCGCAAGCATTGGTTTAGGGTGTCGTACAATGAGTTGACCCATGGCCAGCAAAGTAAAAGATCCGGAGGATATCTGTAGCTGGGTATTCAGATGTAATGGTGATGTTGACAGATGTCAGACGATGGAGCGGCGACGGTATGTCAAAAAGAACGGGGGGAAAAAGAAAATGGGACGAGCCGGGCTTGAACCGGCCACCTTCAGATTACTAGGGACATCCCGAAGGATGAAACCTGGCGGCCGAAGTTAGTGCTTCAGTCTGACGCGCTCCCAGATGCGCCATCGTCCCGAAATTGATGGAAAAGACTCTCTTTTCTGGGTCTCTATCGACCACCTGCGCCAAGCCCGGTTTCACAGCAGACATGCTCAACACACAGATGCGCCATCGTCCCGTCGACTCAAGTATGTCATTCTTTCTTAGTACTTATTGGATACTTAGGATTAACACCAGAGATTATTCTGACACTACCTGTCGAATCCCAGATGCGCCATTGCCCTAAAATTGGTGAAATGTGCTCCCTCCTTCCGGTATTATAGACCATCCCCGCTAAGCCTTTTCACAGCAGATATTCTCAACAAAACCCGTGGCAATTGTCAATTGCAGCTATATTTTGATGATTTGAATAGTGTTGTACCCCCTCCAAAGCATAATAACAGCTTATCTTGCATCTAGCTCTCATGGCGCTGCCGGCGAATGTTCGTCGGGCTGTTGATCACGACAGGGACTTTTGTTGACATGAACACTTTAGGCAATTGTTTTTCTACGGCCCCATAGGCAACTAATCCATCCTCTGATATCACCCGGCAGATCACTGTTGATAACTTATGTTTATGTCTAGCTCGAGCAATCACATACAAGCGCAGGGTATACTGGATGAATGAAAGGCATGATGCAAAACGCAGGCGGTGTACGGCGGCAGATATCTCATCGGCAAGAAGCCCTACCCGCCTCGCTAGCCGGCGAAGGGGAAGATGCCTCCACTTCCAGACTCCGTGTCGGATGACCCGCTAGAGCTGATATAGACACCAAAAAAACCAAAAAAAGAAAAAAAAGGAAACGTTGGGGCAAGCCGGGCTTGAACCGGCCACCTCCAGATCTTCAGTCTGACGCGCTCCCAGATGCGCCATTGCCCCGTCGCACGTGATACTGTCAAGACATTGTGTTACATGAGCGGACTAAAGCACTTCACAAATTCCACGCACCAGCCGATCCGGTCCCACAGTGGCATAGAAGACCTGTGATGTCCGCCGTGGCTGCACGGGCAGGATCAAGTTCGTATACGGCCAGTGTACTCGGATAGCCACGGGGGATTTCCTGCCTCACCTGGGTAACCAGTGAATTCGCCTCAAATGCCAAGTCTAGTAAAATGGACATCTACTAACGTTGATAACCCAGGATAACCAACACTGAGACAAAGGGTGCTACCAACTACAACCGATATATCCAGACCATCGATTAGCCCTATCAGGCCATGTATTGTGCCTAATAAGTACTATGCGGGTCTGTCTGCTAAAATCTCAATCGAAGACGCCACCAGGTGCATGCTACTCGCAGGCGGGGCTGTAGCATAGGCTCCCATATGGGTCGACGAGTCCGGTATGCACCAGGACCCCCTCTAGGGGAATAGTCTATATGCCTCTCCCAAGAGTACAGTACATTATCTGGCAGTCGCGACAGCACAAGTTGTGACGGGAGCAGAGCTCGAGGCGTGTGTTAATGACGCCAGTAGTGAAGGCAAGTCGAACATGGCAGACCGGTCCCAACCGGTCAGTGTTAGTAGCATGCGGTTCTCTTATCCAACGACAACGTGCCCATGTTGTGTGCTACCATGCTGAGAAATCGCATTCTCACCACGGATTCAGCTATTGGCGAGAGAGGCGACCGTTTGCGACAGGCATTGACAAACGAATACAGGGAAGGCTGATTTGGTACCCAGATAGTATATATCAGGTACGAGGGTGCGTGTGGGACGATACAATGCAGATGCAGGGAAGAAGAGGTCGAAAGAAGGACGGAGCATCCCAGTGCCTCCAAACGAGCTCATTGGAACACACGACCACGCCGCAGAAGGGAGATTATACTATTGCAATAACACATCTATTCAAGGAATACTGCCGATCTGTCACAAGAGCTCCTGAGAGCTTAAATTGGAAGAATATACAGTCTGTGTTTCTGCACCAAGACCTGAGGCGGTAGTTTTCCAAAGAAACACGCTCAATACTGTCGATCCAGACTGTTCCCGGAAACTTACCCAGCCATTCCTTAACCAGGCTGTTCGTAGCCAGGAACTAGATCTGCTGATGGAGCTGCTGGCCCTCTATATATGCAAATTCAACATGACTAATCAAGAGAAGCCCCCGATGGTCTAGTTGGTTCATGGCGTTCGGCTGTAATGGTATTAATTGTAACCGAAAAGTCACCAGTTCGATTCTGGTTCGGGGGATCTTATCTTTTTTCGTATCTTTTGATATCTTGAAAGGCCGCAGACACATGGGATAAGGCAGGCTGCGGGTCTTGTTTGTCACAGTGATTTTTGACTTGTGGACCGTTGCTGATCACTCTTGAGTTTCCAAGTACCCGTGGCTTTATTTCTGAACATGGCAGCAAGCGCCCGTGCGAAGGCCTTGCTCAACTTGCAGTGTTGCACCTTGTACCTTCACAAAAACTATCCGAAGCGCTACCTAACACTATATAAGGCTTCAAGCTTCGGTTACCGCATTCCATGGTGGATCCATGGTCTGTGAATCGCTATTTATGCTTTCGGTTGTCCGCGGCACGCCCTTCCATGTCTTTAAGTCTTCCTTTTCTATATCTCATTAATTAGTGAACCCGGCCGAACAAGTAGACCAATACCACTGTGACTACATCAGCAACCCCCGATGGTCTAGTTGGTTCATGGCGTTCGGCTGTAATGGTATAATTGTAACCGAAAAGTCACCAGTTCGATTCTGGTTCGGGGGAAGTTCCCTTTTTTGCCGTCCTTGCAGCATCATCCCCATCCCATGATCTCCGAGCAACTACCCAATAACTCTTGTTTTTGTCCCCCCCCCCCCCCCCTGTTTTCCCCGTGTCTTGGCTATGTTAGGCATCCTCATTTATGACGTCAGACTTGCAGACGCATTATGCTCCCCCCTCCCTGTTTTTTTTGCCCGAATCTTCCTGTGAACTTGGTAATGGACAGACCTACCTTCTCGCCCCATGATTCGGTCAACATACAACAACTAACTATCGAAGCAAAGCGTCCCATCCGAGGAGTGAGACTACATGTTTTGCACACGCAAACAGGAAAATTAATTAAGACCTAACTATCAGCTTCAGTACCTGCAATTCGAAAACTGGGTCGATTGACTATGGTGTTATAGATGCAATGAGAGTGCAAGGGATCATTATGTTCATTTATGCGCCAACCTCTTTTCCTTTGCGTGGTGAGGCCCAGAAATGCCAGGATGGCGAGCTGAGTTCGGGGTTAGATGCATTCAACGTCCCTAGCCAGCTAAAGGGAGAGGGGGGGCTGAATACAAGCTGAGACCAGCGTGAGTATGGGTAAAGGAGCATTAGCGCGGTAGAAGCTGACGGGGTGGGAGATGTAAGTATGAGCATTCTCTGCATGATCATCCAGCATCCACTGAGGAATATATGATAATCCCTTCGGGTCATGACAACATGCGCATGTATTGTACACGTATACTGTATTTTCACTCTACAAACTTGCGTGCAAATTCCCAGAACCACGACTCTCGTCCCCCTTAGATCCATTGATGGAGGGAAGACACAGGATGGTTGGTTCGTCGGTCTAGGTCTTGGTTTCGCCTGCAGTGGTTGGAAGAACCAGGCGAGGGATGTATTAAACCCAGTGTCTTTTTTGGGAGCAGTTAAGGATGATTTTTGCCTTATACTCTCCTCGATGCATCCTGTAACAGCATGAAAAAACCGTGCGGTTCGCCGATATGGGCCACAACTCTGGAACGTGCCATCTCGCTGACGGCTTACAAAGGCATCTAATGCCAGTAGGCCTTCTGCCAACTTGTAGGCTGGATTCCCTGTCCTCGGAACAACTTCTGGATGGATTCTCTTATATCGTCAGGCAGCGTAGGTGGGCAGGGTCAGAAGCACCCGTTGACCAGCTTTCTCAGTCGCCACTAGACTCTGCTGCTGCGATGGCTTTCTCCTGTGCTTGAACCCGACTCTTTCACAAAATAGATGCGTGGTGTCGCTGCCCCAATAGGCCAGACTCTAAGAATGCATTCTCGTATACTAACAACCAACTCTCAATCTTCTTGGGGTTGCTCTAAAAGAGAGAGAAACAAAAAGACATTCCCCCGAACCAGAATCGAACTGGTGACTTTTCGGTTACAACTTCCATTACAGCCGAACGCCATGAACCAACTAGACCATCGGGGGTTTGTTGATCTAGCGGCTGAAAATTATTTCTCATGGCCCTGCCCGAGCGTCTAGCTTACAAAAGGTAAGCGACAACCACATCTCCAAAATAAAAGCATAGATCCCCCGAACCAGAATCGAACTGGTGACTTTTCGGTTACAATTTCTATTACAGCCGAACGCCATGAACCAACTAGACCATCGGGGGCTCTTGTTGATCGGCCGAAAATGTAAAGTTCTATTACCTAGCCTCAAGTCTTCAGGCCTGAAACTCGGCTGCAACCACGAAGATGGATCCCGCTTGGTGGGAAATGTCGGACACGCGCCCGAACCTTCAACCGCAGCCACGAAGACCGCGGCACTGCGCTCGATACGAAACACAATGCTCTGCGGACCATCAGCTACTTGGAAGCATTGTTGCTAGGTATTGTCACCGACCGCCTCGCCGACCGAGAGGGCAAGTCAATAAAAAGAATCCAAGCACTGGACAGTATATTCAGCCAGGAAAAAGAGATCCCCCGAACCAGAATCGAACTGGTGACTTTTCGGTTACAATTATACCATTACAGCCGAACGCCATGAACCAACTAGACCATCGGGGGTTCTGGTTGTGACTGTGCTTCTGAAAACGCAATCTAGCCAAGTCCGTGAGCTCTTGTCATTCGAACTGTTCATGACAAGGAACGATAGGTCGTCGAAAAGCAGGGAAACCGCATCCTGTGGTGAAGTATCAGCACTAGCTTCCGGAGAAAAAGCCACACGCTGGAATTCACGCCTGTTTCGTCGAATGATACACCTCGCGGTCAGCCCTCGCTCGGGGAGCGAGATGGCCAGGGTAACCTAAAACAGGGCAAACCGAACTCCATCACGTAGGGCAATTGCGTGGCAATGGCTCCTGATAATCTGCACAGTCTCGCAGCCTACCGAGCTCTGGGCTCTTGTACGGTGTCTCAAAGATGGAGGGCGAGTGCCTGAGAGCGAGAAGACTATTGCAGCATCTGACGCTCGCAGCACAAGGCGAGCTAAACTTAGAACCATGATTCATTAGATAAAGCCTGGATTCTTTGCGGAGGGGCTATTTGGAAGACTCACCCATAGTTGCCAACACCCGAGCAGTTGAATTTGGTCAAGTTTTCAGCCGCAGGCCATTATTCGTATGGAATAAGCACGACTCATATTTGCCAAGAGGGCCGAATGCTCATGGGCGCTTTGGGGGCCGTGCGTGAAGATCGTCCCCGTAAATACTCATGTATCGGGTGAACTTGGGAGAGAATCTGTTTTTTCTCTTCTGTGCGAGGCAGAAAGTGAGTTCGATGCGGGATCTGAGTCTGTTCCGAGTGGCTGTATCATGGTAGGAAGGGGGTTTGATGCGGTTTAAAAATAGACGAGGGAAGGAAGGGGTGGATGGTTGTTTGACTTAAATGCGCCTTAAAATCTCTTGTGCTGTCCGGAGTCGTGTTTTTGGCAGTGGTAGTCGCTTTGAAGTATCGCTCGGATGGTTGCAGCGTGGTGGTTAATTGATAGACCGACGCAGGGAAGAAGGTACCTTACTGCATAATGCATGGATAGATGAAGTGTTAACTTAGACGGGGTACGATGACATCATCCAGGGAAGTAACTACTCCGTACTATGTACTATTATGTAGGCCATTTTCACTAGCTCCCGGCTTGGTTGTTGCTTGGATAATGGATAGGTCTAACTGACTAAGTACTAGGTAGTCGCTTGTGGCATGATAATTGAGTCGATGTGTAGAGCACTAGCCGACAACCACGCCACTAATGCCGAAGATTAGGTACGTATTTGGAACGAACCGTCTAGGCACTGAATTTCCGTGAGTTTGCCAGGAAACACACAGTCGCCCAGAGTAACCGTCTAGTTAGGCAGTGCAGCTCACTGGCGAACATCAATGTATTTGTCTCCGAAAGTTTAAAGCAAGCAAGATTGCGATAGTCGGAGCCAAAAGCATAACGGTAGGGAGCCTACCGGATTGGCATAGAGAAGTCATGATCGACCGTGTCCCGCGTTCAAATTTTGGGATTGACCTGGGGATTTCCGGCTTGAGTTGTTTGCAAATCACGACCCTTTCCCTCTTCAAGATTGATCAATCGGTATTGCCGCTCCCGAAGTCGAGATTCACACATAAGTTATCTATCCATTTACAATTTACACGGCCAAGAAAAGGAGGTTGTGGCCTGAGGCCACCTTGGTACTCTAAATAAGATGCACCCACCAATTACATTGGAAGCGGGCAGTTACATGATTTCATGCAGCACGTACCTTTACCTGCAGGGTCGCCTCCCGACCGACTGCACAACACTGCAGCCACCCCCACTAGATCTAGGTCGAAAAAAACCCAGCCCCTGGGAAAGATGGCGCATTGCTGTTTCACAATGTTCTACGAAAGTACCGTAGTTTACTAGTGACTGTACTTGCTTACCCATCGATGACAGAGTGTTGCCAGCTCTTTATATGCTTCACACACGGCAACTGTGATAGCCAAACCAGGATCGTGATACTAGATGGAACAAAATTGGGACAGCGACTGTCTTGCCACTGCCTGAGCGGTGGAGTAGTACCAAGTAACTTGCCAGGCACTACTACGTAGGCAACGGCTGGACTCGTGAGGGATGCTCGCTAAGTTGTCCGCTCGGCTGTCTGTTGTGTACGTGTCGTCCTGTCTTGGCTGGTGCTGGTAATCTATTGCTCAAGAATTGGATTCAATGCTTTCCTGGCGAGCACACTCCTGGTAGTCTCTGGTACTTCCCTCTTCTGCCATCAGCAGAGAGGTATTCATATTTCTTCATTTGTTGCGGAGTCGAGTGGGCACGGCTTGAGCACTGTTATGTCCGAGTAAATATCCTGCTCCCGTCCTCGCTGTCTGAGATTGATGCTCAGAGTGCAGACACTACGGCTTACTAACCTATTCAGAACAGTCCACCTGGCAGACCGATCAATATGGGGGTGGTATTAATGTGCTCTGCACAAATGGGTCCCGCGCATCAGCCAATGGTTATTTGACGGTGCGAACCGACAAGTGGGATCGCTCCATCGAGAGATGGATCATGCGCTCGTTGCTGAATGCTGATAACGGTGGTTCATCCTCAGGAGGCGGCCGCCCTTTCCGCTTCTCCGATCTCCTGCTGCTCCTGTTGTTCCGAATCCTCAGTCACCGAGTCTCAGATGTAAGAGGCCCAGGACATTACTGAGTCATTGGAGGGTATTAATATCTCAAGACAGAGAAACCAAGACCTTGGCCCAGAAACCGGGCTCCGGGCAACATCTTGTAACGGCAGAATGATCGAGCCTGGAGATACAAGAAGCAAGTACGGAGTACGATGATCGCGTACTCGAGTACTCCGTACGTTTTGGCAAATGTATCGAAAAAGGGGGTTTGAGGAGATGCGAGGGGAGGAGCTGACTGGACCACTGTTTGGTTTGCAGCAGGAACCGGCTGAATGTAGCTTAGCGTGATGAGTTCCTGACTCTAGCGTCAGCCCCGTCAGCCCGAGCTAGCCCGGAACCCGCCTAGTGTCCTCGCCTTGTTCCACGGGTGTCGAGGCATCCCATTCCATGTACGGAATTCATCCATGCCATCCTGACCGTGGACACCTCCTTTTCTCCTCCCCTCTTGTCTGTTCAACGGACTCCAACCCAAACTCTTCTCTGGGGTCCTCGTCATCATCGTTTTGCTTATTTCTTCATGCATCCTGGTACGCTACACTGAATCTCCGATGACGAGCAAACAAAAATCCCCAAAATAGAGCAGGCGAAAGCACTCGCACAAGTACAGTACGGAGTAAATCGGGATGTTTCATACAGTCTGACGGGCTTCGAGTTTTGTGTTCTCTCATCCTTACTTGTTTGGGCCGCTGCTACTACCGCTATGTCTGACCCCAGAGAACTAAATCTCCGGCTAACAATTTAGTTCACGGGCGGACTTCCATCTCCATTGACAAAACCTCATCAAGTTGGAAATTTACTCGCTTTGCTCCGCTTTGAAGTAAAGATGACCCAGCCTGTCCCTGCATTTGTTTCTGGAGGACATGTTCGACAGGCCGGATTAGCCACCCAAGGCAGGTTGTTGATGAGACAGACTGCTGGATGTGTGAACCAAATTCTCCGCCTTCCTCCACAGCTTTGTGATCTGGTTCAGCACGGCTGCACGAGTTGGAGTCATGCACCACACTGCATTGCTCCGCACGGCTCTCAGGACAGCACACTAGTGGTCTAGTGCCATTCAAGATCCTCACTGCTCTAGTGGAGACGATCGGCCCTCGACTGCCGTCCCAAGTCTTTC